TGAGCCTCATGAATGGGTGTATTGTATATTAAGCCTCATGAGTGGGTGTATTGGACATTGAGCCTCATGAATGGGTGTTTTGGATAAAAGGGTATACCACTGAACTAAACAGGAGATATTGATAATGATATGGGGTTAACTTTTAAAAAGCTAATTCTTGACAAAAAAATTCCATACATCAAATTATTTCTTTTTAAATCAAACAGCATTTTCATTTTTTAACCACAACTTTAGATAAGTTTATTTAGGCATTTGGGATAACCTAAATTTCAATTGAGGAAAATGACATCAAAATTGTTTCTTAGTTGTTCCAATTTTCACACCAAAATATTTTGAAACCTTTAAATACAATTTTCACACCAAAAATATTTAATGTGTAACCACATGCTGCAAATAATTCTGAAGTCATAAGAACTTAGTGATTTATTAAACATATGATATGGTTGGACTTATGATACGCTAATTTGTTGCTAACACACTACAGCTGGTTCTCGGCTACTGCAGAATTCTGATTACACACACAACAACAATAAAACAAAATACAATTACAATTGTTATTCTCTCAAAAGCTTCCTCTTACTCCAAATATGCCCAAGCACCTGAACAACTGCGGCTAAGGGAATCTTAATAGGGGCATCCTCATGGTAAGGAGACACTGATCCTAAGTGGCATTCACTTTGCAATAGACACAATTTCAGGCGATAACTCGCCACAAACACAATTTCAGACAATCTCTGTCCACAAACACAATTTGAGCTGATCATCGACATGCTATTTATTTGTATCCATCAATCAATCTCAATTGTAGTCATTTCTTCCTATTCAACTGACTCTGATTGGGCATCAGGGCTACCTCACTTGTGGACTGGCTCTTTTTTCATCACAGCCACTTTTTTTCTTGAAAAGATTTCTTGGCTGTTTCCGGCAGTGATTACGACACATTCTTCCAACTTCTGTCAATAGGCGCCGACAGCAACAAAACTTGAGCTGCACATGTTGTGGATGGAATAAAATGGGAATGAGTGGAGAAGAAAGTCTATTCATCACACAGGCCAGGCAAATATTGGGTGTCAGTGGCGACTTCTCATGGGAAACATTAGGTGTAATCACGCAAGCTTACTGTGGCTAATGTTGCGCATGTTTGAACGGAGAGTGATTAAAGGGCGCCATTGGCACACAAATCGGTCGTAAGTTTGGGATTAGAAGAAATGGATGCAATAGTTTCTTCTTAATTATTTTATCATTTGATCAGGGAAGTTGATTAAAGTTTACACTCTGTCTTGATTAAGCCAAATGTATCTCCTCACATATTGGCAGGGAAATTATCTGAAGTTCAGTTCGATCAAGGTAACTAATTTTTAACTTTCTTGCTGATTAGATCATCTTACAGGGCTCACATCAACAGTATTAGCCTCTTTAACCATTCAGAGATGTCAGAAGCTTTAATAATCATATTGCTTTAAAGATCAGCTGATGGTTATCAATGTTCTTGAGTGAGTTTTTGAGTGAGTGAGTTCTTCAATTAGTGAGATCTTGAGTTCTTGAGTGAGCAAGCATTTTTAATTTTTTAATTTACACAATATATGGCTTTTCATTCTAATGAGAGGCCGATCACATGACCTTTAAACTTATGTTCATGAGTGTACGAACGACACATTTTGATGTTCACCCATCTTCCTCGAGGCTGTCTTCTAGAAATGAAGCAAACACTGACAGACGACTTCCACATTCCTGCGAACACCTGGGAATTCCCCAGCATACAGACGAGTAGCTTTTTATCATTTAGATGCTTTAAACTTAAACTTGGCGTTTTTTCACTCAATGAAAAAGTCTGTTTGACATGCCCACAATCAAATATCCTTGTTACAACCCATCCTAGTAAAAACATTAAGAATTGCACACCGAAACTCGATATGTGCCTAGACTGACAAGGACAGTCAGAAACATTCTAAGGCAATCTATGAATTTGCTTCAGTAACTATTCGAATGATTGGCCAATTGGTAAATAATGACACCTAATCGCTACAGCTTCCATGACAACTTTGGAAATCTTCACCGTCAGAATCATGGTGTCAGCCAGAGCAGACGTCCTCCTCAAAGGTTCATACTCAATGCCCAATGAAAGGCAATTCTTTATTGCAGTCACAAATATCACAGAAGGGTTAATTATTACAAATGTGCCTAACTGATAATATTCATATGAGAAATTAAACCCAGACTTGAAGCAAGATGAGAGACTGTTTTATCCGCTAGGCTACTTTCTGACCCCTTGTTTCTCACAGTGAAAGAGTTGTGTTTAAAGCACTCACTGCAGCTTTTGAACCCATTCTACAGATTGTATCACTAGCTGTGCATCTGCAGGTGAAAAACTTAAGGGCACCCCAAATAATAATTGCAATAACTGTTATGATTATTGAACTCAGTGAGCACAAATTCAACAATTTAACCTGGTTCCCAATATGAAAATCATTCCATATTCAATCATTTAATTCAGGTAAGTTCCAGAAAATTACAGGGAAAAGAAATTCAGCAGGCTGAAAGGCCACTTTGAACGGAATAGTATTCCAGGTACTGACTTCTGTTCTGAGGGGCCATGGGGAGCCAAGTGGTAAAAGCGTTTACTCGTCACGCCGAAGACCCAGGTTCAATTCCCGACATGGGTACAATGTGTGAAGCCCATTTCTGGTGTCCCCCGCCTTGATATTGCTGGAATATTGCTAAAAGCGGTGTAAAACAATACTAACTCACTCATTCACTCTGAGGGTCCATAGGGTAGGGTGTTTGCCAACCATGCAGAAGGTCTGGGTTTAATTCCATGATATGTAAAATATTGCAGTCTGTCAGTGGAGTGAGTGAGTGAGTATTCAATGCTTCGATCAGCAACATTCGACCTACACAACACTGGCCTGTAGATATTCAGATATGGTGAACAAATAATTAATGATGGAAGCAACTAAGATTGATTGATTGATTGGTTGGTTGTTGTTGTTCAACACCTCAGCAATATTCCAGCTATATGACGGCGGTCTGTAAATAATCAAGTCTGGCCTTGACAATCCAGTGACTGACATGATTAGCATCGATCTAGGCATTGGAATACGATGACATGCATCAACCAAGTCAGCGTGCCTGACCACCCGATCCCGTTAGTCGCTTGTTACGACAAGCATTGTCACATTTACAGCAAGCATGGGTTGCTGAATACCTATTCTACACCGGATAGTCACAGGTCCTGCATCTAAGAGATGTCAAGGAATTATTCTGCTACAGAAATCCAAAATCACAATATGGCTATAAAATGTCCTTAAAACATTCCCCACGTCACTGTGATATTCCCTTCTCCCAATTCCCCTCCCTTTAATATCTCAATGTGCACTTTTGTACCATGTAAGGAACACCACAAAAACATGCCAAAGATGATGGATGGTGGTGGCGGCTGTAACCTTCAGGCCCCCATTACCTTCCATCCCTTTTCTCCATTACATAGAATATTGGGTAAATCTTGTCAAACAACGTGTTTGTCTCACTAATGACACACTTCGTTGACATGAACAAGTTTATATATATCAGCACACATTCATCCTCAAATGGTGTCCCTTTGCTTGTTTATATGACCTTTCTTGTCATATTAATAGTGGTCATATTGCTCTGAAGCTTGCATCCTATTTTAAATTCAAAATGTCAATGCCAGAGAATATTCAGCCTTGATTATCTGTCAAAAGATTTGACTGTGTGTGAAAGGCTAAATAGTGATGAAAATATGAATTGATCACTGAAAATCAGTGATGACACCAGGTGTTGATGATAAGGGTGAGCATGTCCGGCTCCATGGGTAGCACCTTGAACTCCCACGACCCATAAAAATGAATGTGTAAGTATAAAATGTAAAACCATGCCATAATCTCAAGACTATGTACAAGACACAGTGCACCGTTCATGTTTCTAGGTTTGTCAGCACCATACCCGTGCTTGTGGGCTTCACCAAAGTAGTAAATGTCTGAGACCTGCATTTTGGCTGATACACTGAGGTATAACTGCAATACTGATAAAAGCGGCTTTAAACCCAACCCACTCACTCACATGACCTACTAAGATCTGTTGGAACCGTCATTCTTATTTCAAGAATTGTGATGACAATTTTTCTTATGTTCACCCTCCTCTCCAAACTTACTGAAGAATTCTTCTCTTCCTGTATTTAGCATGCATCATCAGTTTGCTTTGACGAAAGACTTTATGCCCCACAAACAGTGATGTCGTGGTAGTGAGTGAGTGAGTGAGTGAGTGAGTGAGTGAGTGAGTGAGTGAGTTGGGTTTAAGACCGCTTTTAACAGTATTCCAGTTATATCATGGCGTGTCAGCTTAATGTGGGAGGAAAGCCCGAAGTGATGCAGGTCTCAGACGTTTACCACTTCGCTGAAACCCACGAGCACAGGTATGGTGCTGACAAACCTAGAAACATAATCGGGGCGAACCGGGATTCGAAACCACAATCATAGGTTTCTGGCGTGCCCAAGGGACACAACTCTCCACAACGAATCACAGCGCCTTAGACGACTGGGCCACCCGTGCCCCCTGATGTCGTGATACCCTTGGTTGCGAGATGTGATTATCTTAATAGACACAGAGTAACACAGTATTTGCCATCTGCAACTATCAAGATCTGTGTTCCATCTTCAATGGAAGCATTCTAATTATAGCTTAGTGGCTTGTAAATAATTGGGTCAGGTGGTCTTGATTGAGTTTGTTTCATTTACCCAGACAGTGTGTGTCATGATATCAATCACTGGTTTGTCTGACAAAATATGTAGAGGCTACTGTGCTATACCTACGATGACTTCTCAGTAATTTGTTCTGGTCCTTTGTTTAACCATGACGTTTAAGAATCTTGCATAGTGCCAGTGTAACAGAGCAACAGTTTGGCATTTATGATGGAGAGACATTATTTGCAATATATTATGTTTCAGATCTTTCCCGAAGTCATCCTGACAGAAAAGGGTGTCACAAAGTTGATGAGCCTGTGGATTTTACATGTTTGACACTTGGGATCTCCTGCACCACACTGAATGTAAGTTTTGTTTGTTTGTTTGTTTGTTGTTTAACGGTGCACTCAGCAATATTCCAGCTATATGACGGTGGTCTGTAAATAATCAAGTCTGGACTTGACAATCCAGTGAATGACATCATAAGCACGCAATTGGAATACGATGACATGCATCAACCAAGTCAGCGAGCCTGACAACCCGATCCCGTTAGTCGCCTCTTACAACAAGCATAGTCTACTTTTACGGCATAGTCAGACTATTCCAACACAGATCACCAACAATTTTACTATCACACGCTATCCCATACTGAGTTTTCACACGTTCATGGATCTCACTGGCACTAATTGTAGTGGATCAGGTGGTCATGATACTGATCACTTGATTGTCAGGTCCAGTTTCAATTGTTTACAGGATGCTGTCATATGGCAGGAATATTGCTGGGTGTAGCATTAGGCAACAAGCAAATAGTTCTATTTTTATGCAAATTATGTGTGTCGTGGGTGCTATGGGTAGAGCAGGACATCACAGAAAATCACTGATCGTTTCATGTTGAATGTTTTGAATGCATATCACAACTATTTATACCAGACATAAAGACAATGACATGTAGCATACACAAATAACAGTTGATGAACCAAAACAAAACTTTTATATTTGTAGGTTGACAGATTTGATCTATTCAAGAATTGTTTAAATTTTCTTCTTTTGGGCGGATCACTCTATATTTGATGGATTAGAAAAACAAAAATACAGACTCAGCAATATTCCAGCTATATGATGGGGGGTCTGTTAATAATCAAGACAATCCAGTGATTGACATCATAAGCATCGATCCACCCAGTTAGGATCGATGACATGCATCAACCAAGTCAGCGAGCCTGACCACCCGATCCCGTTAGGCACCTCTTACGACAAGCATAGCCACCGTGGATGATTTAGAAGACCAGGTTTTCATATCAGTTAGCTGAATAGGATGGGATGCCATCTGTGTTTCCATAATACAGACTGCATAGACAAACAGTAGCATGTTCAGTGGAAGACAACAGGTGGCATGTCAGGGGGAGAAATCAGGACAGAATCTGCAACTATTTATGGCCCTCTTTTGAACAGACACCTGTTCTTGATGAGGTGAATTGGGAGCCAGTTGTTGGCTGTATCACTCTGACCAGCCACTGAACCCCATCCACCATCAGAGACTTCATCAATACACTCGTCTGATATAGTAGCTACACCTGTATGATTGTAGCAGATATCACCACCGTAGTCTTCTTGAGCACTCACTGTACATAGCAGGGTTGCTGTTCGACACATAGTATAAGGCTGCGAATTTATGGCTGTCAACTTCCTTTTCAGAGTATATACTTACTCCTTCATTATGTGCCTCATAATAAAGAAGTTGACATCCATAAATTCTCTTCCTCATGAAGAGATACCACTTCTAAATGCCTTTCAAAGACGTGACAGATAGTTTGTTTTATGCCAGTCGGCAACATGCCAGTGTATCATGGCAGACTGTATTGTATTAAGTCTGGACAAAACAAACCAGAGATTGATATCATGAGCAATGTTTCATGCCGATTGGGTATGATGGCTCAAAATTAACCATCTGATCCAATTTAGTCACCTTTTAAGACAAGCATAGGCTACTTGGGACCATGTCTAACCTGGAATCACAGTTCTCACTCCTAACTTACACATGGGCATGGCTGACATAGGAGGCCATTGGACCTCTGACAGGGACTTCTCAACACCGGTTGGGTTAGATGGATCCGCATCTTACACCAAGGGCTTGAGTACATGGCAAAGATAACTTGCCCCTTCAATTCTCAAACATGCTCGTTACAGACATTGAATAGAAAGGGTACAGTGTATCCACACATTTTGATTTAGATGATGCCACAAAAAAGGTGGTGTGGGGAGATTCAAGATTATTCCACTTATAGCGATGTGCATGTATGTGTGTGTGTGGCTGGTTGTACTAGTCTGGACTAATACCAATTTTAAAGTGTTGGATCACCGAGATACCATGACACAGTTTAACATGAATACCCCACTCAGACATAGTATACAGCGTTAGAAATTGGCACTATTCCTGTAGTCCTTACCAAACTGCCCAATAGTAAAGGTATCCTAAGGACTAGTAGAAATTGGCCCATTTTAAGGGTTTTGCTATATGTTATCATTATAAGGAGTAGAGGACAAAAACTGTTAGTTTCTAACCCTGGTATACTGACTCTGAGCTGACCAGTCCTTGTTTTATCTCCTTAATGCCAAGCGCCGCCAGCTTAGTACCATCATGACACAGCAAGCGGAATGAATCACCGCTCATCTGCTCTCTGAGAAGACCTAGAGAGGGAACAAAATGTTGATTGAGGAGGATAGTTGGTTTGGTGTAGAGACACCTGTAATAATGTCCATTTTGTTCTACCCATCAGAACCCAAGTGTCCATTGATTGAGTCAGTAACACTGAGCACATGAATTCTTTTTAACGCTGCAGATTATTGCTTATAACATACATCTTCCTGAGTTGACTGACTAATATGGTCCAGTTTCCACCCTTGCCGAACTTGGCTGGAATTATGGAGTTATATTTTGGCTGGAATGACGTGTCTATGCATAGTCCAATCAAAATTGCGTAACGAAAGTGACATCCAGTTCGTAAACTGCTGGAGACTTCGGTAGATTGCAGAATTTGCAAAGCATATGTACTCTCAAATATATTATTATACAATATAGATCTTGATTATGATTCGTAAACAACAATAAAATCATTCAGTTACATGTCCAACTGCCAAGTATCATCAACATTCTAACTGACAATAGAGCAAATGTTGTGTAACCCAATATTTCCAGCTATATCACAGCTGCCTATTAATAACTGCCTATAAATGATCAGTGACTTAAAGCATAAGTAGTGATCCACGTCCCTGCTTACAATGACATGAGCAGAGTCGGGTCCAGAGTCTGTAGTTAATCTGGCACGGCATGGCATGACACATTACCTACAGTACAGTCACGTCAAGTCCCGTTAATCCGACATTGAGGGTGGCATATGATTAAATCGGATTAATGAGTATGTCGAATAAAAAAAATTAAGTAGTATCAACGTTCTTGATCGAAAATCGGACAACTACACGATAGATAATGATACAAAAACTAATTGTTCATTAATTGTTTATTGTTAAGCAACTTTATCTCTGCAGCCGTTGTAATATGCAGCTACCAGCCGACTCATCTCGCATCAAAACACGGGCTGCATACTCGTGGGTAGATGACCACGGAGTACACTGACCACTGTGTCGGATTAACGAGACTGATTAATAAGTGATTTCGGTAATTCGTTGCAAATTAGGTGTGTCGGAGTCGGAGTGTGAGACTGTCGGATTAACCGGTCTTAATAGCACTGAGTTAATCGGTTCCCATCATTAATGTCGGATTAACAAATGTCGGATTAACAATTGTCGGATTTACGAGACTTGACTGTAATATTAAAGAATTGGGTGGTTTTAAAAGAAAGACCCTTACATACAGTATTAGTATTTAAGGCATTGATGACCTGCAAATCATCTGTCAAGAAGAAAGGGACCTCCACACGTGACTCTTCTATTTCCTGCCAAGGCACATGCAGTCGTGATCTATATAAAACCAATCTTTTCTGGAAATCTTATAACAGCTCTGTCAATGATTTAATAAATAAGAATGAGACTGCCTTACATCCTCCGTTCCCGTTCCATATTTATAGGATCTTCATCTTTCCTCAGAACCCAACAACAATCACAGGGTCAAGGATGTGTGCGTCACAACCCAAAAACACTGATGAATTTTTCATTAATTGGAGTCATTATAAAGTAAAGAAAGAAGAATCGTTCTGAGAGTCTTATATTATCAATCATTGTCAATATAGCGGAATCTGTGTCTGTTTTAATAAGGAAGATGGACATGATGTCACATATCATGTTATACCCTGCTTCCATCAATCACTTCAGTCTTCCTTGGCAGCCATCTTGAACTTTCCTTCTCGTTTCTGGTGACAAAATTTGCCTACCGCTTAGAGCATCATTGTATGGTAATTTGAAATTTTAGATTCTGGTAAACTCAATGATAATACCACAGACGAACAGAGCTATATGTCTTGTATAATAAATTATATTAAATGTCAAATGGGTGACATTTGATATGCTACAAAAGGTATAAAATGATATTGAGATAGTTTGAAGAATCTTACCGGTAAGTAGAACTGTTGTGTTCCATATTCAATTACAGCCATCATAAGTGAATTTTGAGATTTACATCCCTGTGTGTCGTAAAATAAAATGCCTCTGGCTCAAATTAAAATCCTTCTGGATTATAATCTAATCTAATCTGTTGAGCTGGACAATCATGTGGCGCTTACTCACAGAGATGAACATCATACAAATTTATTCTTTGTATGTTTTCAATTAATTTCATTTATATTGAATTAATTTAGACTGAAACATTTCATGATTCTTCTTGAACCAACTTACCTCATTAGCTACAAATGTTTAACACAGCATTAGGACAAAAAGTGAGCTATGTTTGATCAGGTTTAAAAGATTTATGGATGACATGTGGAGGAAATTTACAATCTGACACATCAGTGACAAAAATGACGTCGTCTGGTGCAAATACCTAATTCGACTTGTACCATGTTCCTTTGCATTTCTGTTGAACAATTGACTAGCCTATGCATGTGTTTGTGACATTGCCACAAGTGGGGCAGGATACAGCAATATTCGATAGGGATTCATACACACATGCTGGCGATATAGTCAGAATCGTATCATAAACTCTGCTTTTGACAGAAATTTCTTTTGATTATTTAACAGGTTTTTGTTACTTTTACTTACACAAGAACAAATACCATACTGAACTAATAGGGAAATAGAACCTTTGGCTAATGACCTAATGCATTAACCACTAGGTAATGGTTTGTTTGTTGCTTAATGCTACAGTAAGAATAAAAAGTCCAGCTATATGATGACAACCTGTAAATAATTGAGT